AGGAGGTGATTCCAATACTAGAGGTGCTAGAAAGAAACACTACTGATCCAAACAACGCAGCATGGAATTTGTTCTATATGATTCTTATGGTCTCAGTTTTTTTTTTTAAATTTATTTTTTAAGTATCTTTTTCTCTTAAAATTATTTTTTAATGTTTTTCCTGTATGTTTACGTAATTATATTATTTTTATCCTCAATTGTTTTTTTTAGTTTTTTTTCTTGTTACTCTTTTCTAACTGTGGTTACTCTTTCTATTCTTTAGATTTTTATCTTCATTCGTTTCTCCTCTTATCTAAGCTTCATTTTCTCTTTTAATAAAGTCTTTTTAAAAAAGTCTTAAAAGGCCATGCATGGCAGCACATGCCTGTAATCCCACCACTAAGAAGGCCTAGAAAGAACTGCCATAAATGCAAGGCTACCCTGGGCTACAAAATGAGTTCAAGGCTAGCCTGAACTACGTAGTGAGACTCTGTCTCAAAAATCCATACAGGAAAAAAAAAAAAAAAAAAGATCCATACAGGAACAAGAACAACAACAAAAACACTTTAGATCTTGCTGCCTCTTTTATTATTATCCTTCTTTACCCCTCTATTTTATTACTATTATTTCATTTTTCCTGGTACCAGTGACTGAACTCAGGACCGCGTGCTTGCCAGGCAAGCACTTATTCTACTGAGCTATCTCCCTGGGTCATATTTTTCAATTTACTAATTTTTAACCTTTTAATTTGTTCTATATGATTACTGCTGCTTTCTTTTCTATTGTTAATAGTGGTATAGCTTTTGCTTTTAAGTTGACTTTTACTACACTTCAGTATCTGGTTTGTGTTTGTGTTATCATCATAACTTCAGGTGGTATTTTCCTCTCATGTCACTAAAAAGTTCCTCACCTAAAGTGGAAGAGATTCCATCCTAACAGATAAGAAAATCTCAACATGAAAACTGAACAAGTATGAAAAAACAAAGCAGCATTGACTCCTCCATAGGTTCATAATGTATTGGTAACTGAACCTAAAGATACCATAGAATGGAAGACTGATTTTATTTTGTATTTAGTACAGGGTCTACAGGGTCTCACTATGTAGATCGGACTTGTAGTGATCCTCCTGTTTTCAGCCTCCCAAGGGCTGGGATTACAGGTGCATGCCACCATGCCCAGTCTCAATCTACGCCTCAGCATGCCCTGGGGCAGGGCTGGCACGGCACACAGGGCATCGAACCCCGGCCTCTGCGCTCTGCTTAAGCAGGCGCTTTAGTCTGCTGAGCTATCTTGCTGGCCCTTAGAGACTGATTGTAGATAATACAGTGAATAAAATCCCAGAAAGAATTTTAAAAAATGACTTTTTATAATAATGACCTCAAAGACAACACAAATCAAAAGCTGAATGAATTAAGGAAGACAACTCAGCATATGAAGGAATAATTCAAAGGGACAGAGATTCTGAAGAAGAATCAAACAGAAATCTTGAAAATAAAGATCTCAACAAATAAAAAATAAAATAAAAAACTCAGGAAAGCATTACCAGACTGAATCAAACAGAAAACAGAATTTTAGGGCTTAAATACAAGGTTGATGAAGTATTACACTTCAAAGTAAAAGAAAAATTAAATTAGGAATATCCAGGCACACACCTTTAATCCCAGCTCTTGGGAGGCTGTAAACAGGCAGATCACTACGAGTCCAATCTAGTAGTGAGACCCTGAACACCCTGTAGACCCTTCCCTAAAATAAAATAAAATAAAAATAAATAAATAAATAATAAAAAAAAGAATGCTTAACAAATATCCAAGAACTCTGGGACAAAGTTGAAAGACCAAACTCACAAATGTTTGGTATGGTTCGGTTTAGATCAGGTAACTTAAAGCAAAGAAAATCGATTTGGTAAAATAATAGCAAAAACCTCCCAAATTTTGGCAAAGATAATGGAGATCCAAGTACAGAAGGCATTCAGAACACCAAATACGCATGACCAGAAAAACAACTGTCCATATTAGCATTAAAATGCCAAGAGTATAGAACAAGAAAAAATGTTAAAGGCTGCAAGAGAGAAATTCCCAGTCATTTATAAAGGCAAACCCATTATAATAACTGCAGATTTCTCTGCAGAAACACTTACAGCCAGAAGGGCATAAAATTATGTAGTTCAAGCCATGAAAGAAAAGCACTACTAATCTAAATCACTTTATCCAGTGACTTTAAAGGGAGAGGGACTTGCGGGATAGCTCAGTTGTTTAAGTGCTTGATAGGGCAAACCCAGTCAGGTGCAGGAGACTATGGTTCCATCCCCAGCTCCTCATTCCTTACTATACCCGTCCTGAAGGCAGCCTGAGCCAGAGCCCCTTCCCCCCAAAAAAAGACTTGAAAGGGAAATAAAGACCTTACAAGGTAAGTATAAACTAAAGGAATTCATGACTACTAAGCCAACACTGTAGGACATACTTAAGGAATCAATCCTACAGAGGAAAGTAGAGTATATAAGCCAATAAGAATTAAGAAAAAATTAAACACTACAAAAAAAAAAAAAAAAAGAGAGAAATCAGTACATACACTTCTATAACAATTTAGAATGTAAATGGTCGTAATTGTCCAATTAAAAGGCACACATCAGTAGATTGGATTAAAAAGTGAGGCCCAATCCTTTGCTGCCTGTAAAAAACATATCTCACCATGCAGACTGAAAGTGAAAGGATGGAAAAGGATGTTCCATGCAAAGGGAAAACCGAAAATAAGGACGAAGATGTAATAACTGTAAATATACATGCACCAAACATTAGTTTGCCCAATAAAACAAACACTGTTCATCATAAAGGTACATATAGGCCCCAATACAAAAATATTAAGTGACTTCAATATTCCACTCTCACCAATAGGTAAGTCGTCCTGTTTTTTTTTTTTTTTTTTTTTTTTTTTTAAATCAATGAACAATAGAGTTATACAATAGTACCTCAGTTCAAAAACTTAATTGTTAGGAGCTGCTAAAGTTGGAAATTGATCATATGTGAGGGCAAGATGAGGCCTTATTGCCTAAAGCAGTCAAGCTACCTCAGTCTGGAGAAAACATCCTGCCTGGACATTATAGGCTGTGTCTCGTAATTTTGCAAAGATATAAAAAAATGACCCTACTGTTCTGAGTTCTTCTCTCAATCAGCCATCGGGCCACCAACCAGGTACACTGGGAGACTAACCAGTTCCTACACTTAATTTATTCCATGATTCTGGAAAGGTTGGTCACATTCATGCTCATGTAGGAAAGATAGCTGTTACGTTTATCACCCAATGCAGAGCTCACAAACAAAAATAAAATTTTATCACACTCCTATGACCAAAGTCCTCATGACCAAGGTACCACTGTATTATACTATAGATCAAATGGATGTAACAGACATCTACAGATATGTTGTCCAACAACTGCAGAGTACTTTCTTTCACCTCAAAGAACGTTCCCCAAAATAGATTATCCTCTAGGCCATAGTCATAACAAATACAGAAAACTGGAATAATTTTTTGTATCTTATCAGATCATAATGGAATCAAGCTAGAAATGAACGACAAGAGAAATGATACAAGGTATACAAACACGTGTAGATTAAAAGGTTCACTTTTGAATGATTAGTGTGTCACTGATTAAAATAAGAAGGAAATTTTAAAATTCCTTAGGAAGCTTCTAGGAATTTTTTAATTTCCCTCTTGTACTGACTTACAAAACTATGAGTATTTTGCAATGATCATTCTATATTTTCTGTTGTTATTTTCTGTCAACTGCACTATGTACACAAAATTCCTACCAAGGAAAGGGAGAAATAATTTCTTTAAAGTTTTAAAATTTAAGGGGCTGGGTGACATGGCTCAGTGACATTAAGTGCCTGCCTGACAAGCAGAAGGTCCTGAGTTTGATCCCCAGGAAAACACACACACACACACACACACACACACACACACACACCCCACACCTAGTCTCTCAGCATGCCCCGGGGACAGGGCCAGTATGGCATGCTGGAGATTGAACCCCAGCCACTGTGCTCTGTCTAAGCAGGTACTTTAGTCTGATGAGCTATCTGGCCAGCCCTAAGTTTTAAAATTTAAAATTCACTGTATTTACTAATCACATATCATAAACGTTACACACTGCAATCAAGACACCTAGGATGCATAAAAAAAATTATTTGCTGAATTAAGAAGCATTTATTTTTAACATGTTCCTGCTGTCTGGGCCATCATGACTGTCCCATCAGGCAGCTTATACCACCCAATGGGACTGTCCCATGCTGCCCAATGAGATAGTCATAATGTATCACCGATGGTTCAGAGCCACCCACCAGTTAAGACATACAAATATGTCCCCATCACAAATATGTTAAAACAACTCATTTAAACTTGACTTTTAGTTGCTTTCCTGGGTTTCACACTTTTAAGGTCTGGATAAGTGTTAACATTAAATTCATTTAATACTGAACTGTGAAATATTAGTGGAAATTCAGTTTCACTGATTTGGCACTACCACTTAATGTTAAACATGAACAAAACATAATGCTGTAGAAAATTAATATGTTTTAATAAGATGTTTAAAAGATTGAAAAAGAGGGGGCCTGTGCCTTAGCTCAGTTCTTTAAGTGGCTGCTTCAACAAAGCAATCAGGCTCAGGTTGTTGTGGTTCGAGCCCCACAACTCAAGCCAGCCAAACCTGCCCTGAAGGCATTGGGAGCAAAAAAAAAAAAAAAGATTGAAAAAGAACTGACATTTATCTGCTCATTGTGGATTGTGATTATCTCTAATTCTCAATGCTTAGGAATGTAGTGGAATCATACATATATAGTAAACATAACTTTTAAAGTTTGATTAAATGAATTTTTTAAAACTTTTTATTTTTTAACCTTTTGGAGAAAAGGTCTCACTATATACAGTTCAGGCTGGCCTTGAGCTCACTTTGTAGCATAGGATAGCCTTGAACTTAAATATCCTCCTGCCTCAAAATCAAAAGTTTTGGTGAGATTTTTACATACCTTAAAAGTAGAAAGCCCATAAAGTCTTGTAGTATGAACAGTTTCTTGAGAAATATTTGTAATATTAGTGATAAAGTCCTCAAGGTATTTACAAGCTTGCTCCAAGTGTGTTGTGTTTATGATGATTTGTACCAGCTAGAAAACACAAAATACATCCAATAAAAGTTATACATTATGTGATGCTTGATTTTTAAAACCAGGATTATTACTTCTAGTAAATGTACCACTTCTGCATAATTATAGCCAAGACATGGTATGATTATCTTATTTCATGTCAGCTGCACATACTGGCTATGAACGGTAACATTATTAAAAATATCTATGAATAGTCTGCCAATTATTTTAGTATAACTTCTTATAGTATTTTTCATATCATACATATGCAACAAGTAAAAAACATGGATTTCAGCTCCCCAAGTAAAGTACATCTATCAGAGTTTCAAATATAGAATTTTAAATATGTATTTTTACATCTTCAACTATCTATTTCCCATGTTAAACTCTTTCACCACACTTTTTCTTTTTTACTCTATTTAGTACAGGGTCTCACTCAGCAGTTCAGACTCATAGTGATCCTCCTGTTTTCTGCCTCCCCAACACTGGGATAACAGGTGCACGCCACCTCACCACACTTCTTGAATTTGTACCAATGATTAAATTTTTTACAACTCTGCTTATAGTACAGAACTAGTTCTATAGGGTTGTATTCAACAAAAACTTACAGTAATTTTTCACATAAAAACATATATGATATTACAAAGATAGTGTTATAGAATGGTGTTTAGCAATAACTTATAATAACTTTTTCATATATTAAAACAATTGGTTATGTGTCTTCTTAACCTACCTCTGTCAAACCTATATGTGGTTTTTTAATAAGGTTCAGTAAACAGCTACTCAAAGTTCTGGTCAGCAGCAGATTTGTTGATTTTCTAAGCATATCATCTATTTCTGTTGAGCTAAAGACAAAGGTTGATATTATTAAACTTTTCAAGGGTACAGTTAATACTCTAGATAATTTAATATAATTTATTAAAATAATTTGTTCTAAATCATCATTTTATGTCTTTGTATTACAACTCATACTAAATCAAAAACTTTAGTTCCAAAAAAGGTACATTTCCAATAAAGTAACACACTGACTTGTGAGGTAATTTAAAAGTATTCAATCAATCACTACAGCAAAACCTTATCAAGTAATTAATAGAAGGAAATAAAGCTACTGTTAAGTTATTGACTCCACTGCAGGACAGTCATTTAGCAAAATATCTCACATACAGCTAAAGCTAAAAATTACTTTTAGAGAATGGATTTTTTTTCATTTTCACTTTTTTTTTTTTTTTTGGTGGTACCAGGGATCAAACAGGACCTTGCACTTGCTAAGCAAGCAAGCACTTATTCCACTGAGCTATCTTCCCCAGCCCCAAATATTTATTGTTTTGTTTTTTTGTTTTTGTTTTTGCAGTACCAGGGATCAAACTCAGGGCCTTGCGCTTGCCAGGCAAACACTTATTCAACTGAGCTATATCCCCAGCCCTAAAATTACTTTTAAAACATGAACTGATGTTTTGCTTTTGTTTTTTTGGTCTTTTTTTTTTTTTTTTTTGGGAAGGGTCTACAGAGTGTTCAAAGTCTCACTAATAGATCAGACTCGCAGTGATGCACCTGTTTACAGCATCCCAAAACCTGGGATTACAGGCACGCGCCACCACACCCAGTTGCAACTGCCAGCTCAGTGTGCCTTGGGGGGCGGGGCCAGCAAAGCAGGCCCAGGGATGAACTCCCAGCCCCTGTGCCTGCTTGCAGGTGCTTTAATCTGCTGAGCTATTTGACCAGGCCTTTTTTTCAGTCATTTTGAGACTGGATTTTATCATGCAGTTCAGGCTGGCTTTGAACTCACTTTGTAGCCCAAGTTGCCCTCTAACTCACAGCAATCAATCCTTTTGCCTCAGCCTCCCAAGTGCTGGGATTACAGGCATGTTGCCACCATACCTGGCTGATGTGATCTTTTGGTACCTACAACCAGATTTAACTTTTAAAGTAACTAAACCATCCATTTCCATTAACATTTTAAAAGACATAAAAAATAAATTATCTTGAACTTTAATTTGGTGCACAAAACTCCATGGTACTTCTTAACACCTAAAGATTGTTAAACTAGCACTAAAAAGTTAACTCTTGTAAGTATCAGGCCTTTAACTTAAATGAATAACAACTCTTGAATAGAGCCATCATTTAAACTGTTAAACTGTCCATAGATCATGTATTCTCAATTTCAGCACTGACACTTTAGATTGGATAATTCTTTCCTGTGGATTACCTGTGGAAACTGTTCTGTAAAATCTAGCCTCAAGCAGTCATGAGGTAGTCTTCTAGAGTTTGTGATTAGCTCAAGATCCACTGGGATTGTGGGTGTGGATGCTGCACCTGCAGCAGGTAATTTGCATTACAATGTAAGAAGAGAAGCTATCTGCTTGAGTGGCTGCTACTCCTCCATTTTGCTCTCTTGCTCTTTGCCGCTGCCATGAAAGGCTGTTCGCTGCAATGTGCCACTCTGAGTTGGGAGCCAGCTGAGTATGGACTAAAACCTCCAGTAACTGGGAGCCAAATAAACCTTCCTTTCCTTCATTTTGAACGTTGGGTATTTATCCCTCAATAAGAGTAAGTAAGACATCTAGGATGTTAAGCGGCATCGCTGGACCCTACCTACCAATTCTAAGCAGCACCTCTTCTCATCCCGACCCCCAGTTGTGACAAACAAAATGTCCTTAGACAAATGGGGATGGGGGTAGTGCTAATGAGAGAAACAAAAATTATCCCTAATTTAGAAATACTGCCTCAGACTTAGGTTTCAAACTCAGCATCCACTTACCATTTATTTCATTGCAATACTTTTCTTAAAAATCTATGAAGCACAACTATTTACTACATCATATATATTTTTTCAATATTTATTTATTTGGTACAGGGACTCACTATGCAGTTCTGACTCATAATGATCCTCGTGTCTCAGTCTCCTCAGGGCTGGGATTACAGGCATGTGCCACCACAACCAATTTCGGTGGCTAGCACAACACGCCCAGGGTTCCAGGGCCAGTGCTGCACATGGTACCAGGGATCAAACCCAGGTCCTTGCATTTGCCAGGCAGGTTCTTAGGCTGCTGAGGTTATCTCCCCAGCCCTACACTGTATTTTTAAAAATGCAAATCAAGCAAAATTTGACAAAACAGGTATACTGATCACTACTCTTAATGTTTTCCATACTAATACAGCTATACTTTCTCTGTTTTTCATTTGCTTTGTGTTTTGGTTTTGGTGCTGGGGATTCAGCTCAAGGAAAATATTTATTTCAGGTTTTGTATATCTATATTCAACACAATCCAAGAAATAAGCACCTCCAGTAGAGTTTCAGGGTTGTCATCAAATATACAGACAAAAAACTTCTAATCCATCAATGATGCCCCTGGAACAAGCAACTTACACACCTTGATAAAAGACAGGTGGATGCCAACTCCTCTAGTTTCTTTTGACACATTAAATTATGTACAAGACACTGTATAGAATCTTTGCCTGAGGAAAAGTTACTCAAATAATGTCTTCTGTTTAATTTCCCTACATCTCAATGCATACTTTTTCTTCATAAGTAAAAACACTGAATGAAAACCTGTCAGTACCTGAGTCCTATCTGTACCAGCAAGATTTCCCTGACAATGACCAGTTATCTTCCTATGAACTTTAACTCCAATCTTCTTCTAACACTTTGAAAATCAGAAACACTTCTGTCCCACATCTATTATTGTAGCATCCCTTCTCCTAAGCTCTGAGTCTACCACATGCCAGGAACTATGCAAAGAGCTTTACAGCATTTTCTTCTTACAACCACCATACAAACTGTTTCCTTCATTTTACAGATGAGGAAACTGTAGTTTAAAAGAAATTAGTTAAAATTTTCAAGGTCCTATTTCAATAAGTGTCAGCAACAAGAAACAAACTGTTTACAGCTTGTTCTTAAGCATCATAACTGCCTATTTTACTTTGTTCATTATTTTATTTTTGTGATGCAAACATCAAACTAAGGGTTCTGCATATGCTAGAAAAGTTTTTTATTACTGAACCTCATCCTCACCCCTTTCAGATCAGAAAAGAACACAAAATGAAAAACAAATTAGGGATAAATTACTGAAGACTCAACTATTTGTGGCCCAAAATAAATTCACTATAACAACATATTTTAATACAAATCATTTTGTTATTCCTTTTCAGTTACACTCATTTGAATTCATTGTTTTTCAAAAGCTAGATTATGTTGTGTATCTTGTATGTTACTATTATTTTGGATTTATACAAGGCATAAATTGAATAAGAAATATGTGTCTGCCAGGGTTAGGGAGTATCTGATTTTAAGACTTTGTTTTTCCTATGTAAATAGAGTTTTTTAAAAAGGCTGATTCTTGTTTATGGATAATATGAATAGAAGAAGAAGAAGAAAGGAAGGCAAATGTCTAATATATAGCCTACATTGTGCTATTTGTCCCTATAAACCACTGGTTCTCCTACTCTGATCAGTAGCATCAACATTATAGAGGAAATTATTAGAAATACTGTCTCCGATTTACTGAGTTAGAAACTTGAGGGTAAGGCCCAGGGTCTTACCAACTTCTCTGGTAATTCTAATACATGCCAAAATTTAAGAATTTTCCTTTAGCTACTTGTATCAAAATCTCTACAGAGCACTCCACTAGCTACTTATACTAAGTTTCATCATACTCCATTACAAACGTCTCTAAAGACAATTTTAGATACTACAATACAATGTAAGTCTACCTAGCTGCCAGGGCTGCTGCCACTTTCTTCACTCTCCATTTTTGGCAGCCTCCATGAACAGTTGCTCTCTGCCATGTGCCACGCTGCCTTGAAGCCAGACGAGTATGGACTGAAACCAATATCCAACACCCAAAATGAAGGAAGGAAAGGTTTATTCAATTCACAGTCAGTGGAGGCTTCAGTCCATAATCAGCTGGCTCTAAGGCAGAGTGACACATAGCAGAAAGCAGCCATTCATGGTAGCAGCAAAGAGCAAGAGTGGCCGCACCTCAGGCAGTTAGCTGGCCTCTTTCCCCTCCTCACATTGTAATGCAAATTACCTGCCTCAGGGCAGGTGCAGCACCCACACCCACAATAATCAATCACAAACTAAAGAAGCTGCCCCATGACTGCTTGAGGGGGACACCTATATACAAACCATAACAGTTAGCTAGAGCTACCAAGAATTGCACTACTCTCCACTATTGAGAATGAGAACAGTGGCCAGCCAGATAGCTCAGGGGATTAAAGTGCCTGCTTAGGCAGATACAGGGACCAGGGTTCCCACCCCCAGGGTGTGCTGATCCCCCACCCTTCCACATGCTGAAATGGGAACTGACACTGGTCCTAGTATGCACAGCTGTAATCCCAGTGCTTGGGAGGCTAAAAAACAGGAGAACCACTACATGCCTGATCTGGGTAGTGAGACTCTGTAGACCCTGTACTAAATACATTTAAAAAGAAAAAAAAAAAAAAAAGAAAGAAAGAAAGAACAACGATATCTGGTTTTCAACAAATCAATGACATAGATCAAAATGGACATTGGTTAAAAAAGATTCAACAATGAATGAAAGATGTGGACTTTGTTTGGATCCAGATTCAAATTTATCAAATGTAAAAAGATATTCTGAAAATGACCCAAAACACTGGTATGTACTAGGGAAATGATATTTGTAAGTACAGTTAAGTGAAGAAAAGTTCTGTTTTTAGAAGCACATTCTGAAGTACTCATGGATAAAAAGTCATTACCAAGGGTATGTATTTACTTTCGAGTACTTCAGCAAAAAGTAATGAATATGGCGTAACATTTATTACATTTCAACAAACTGTCTCTACCTTTTGGTCTGAGGAGATAGCTCAGTGGTCTAACTGCCTGCCTGGCCAGTACAAGGGTCCAAGTTTGGTCCCTGGTACTACACACTATGCCACCTCCAAAACTCTGGGCACACCATGCTGGCTCCCAAACCAGGTATGGTGGCACATGCCTGTAATCCCAGCACTGAGGAGGCTGAGACAGGAGATTCACTACAAGTCTGAAATGTGTAGCAAGACCCTATAACAAATAAATAAATATCATTTCTATTTTTACATATGCTGAGGAATTTACACAATAAAAAGTTTAAAAATATAATATTAGATTGGGCCAGGTGTGGTGGTGCATACCACCCTGGGAGGCTGATGTAGGACTGCTCCAAGTCTGAAGCCAGTGTCATCTACATAGTGAGACCTTGTCTCCAGAAAACAAACAAAAGACAATAATCAATTTATAGAGACTTAACCTTAAATACATCTAACGTAGATAATCCTTTCCAGTAAGATGATAACCATTAAAAGTCATGGCATAAAAATAAAGTGTTAATATTTTATAAAATTCATATTAAAAGATATTTCTTAAAAAGCTTACCTCCGGTGCAGTGACTCTGAAAATTTAAGGCTGGCATAAATAAATTCTTTAACCTGAATATAAATATGAGGTACTGACTGAGACATGGGAAATTTCTTCGGGAAACACTGCTGTGGAAAGAGAAAATACTGTTTTTGAAATTTTAAGAAAAAACATTCTAATCACATAAAATGTAAAAAAAAGTAACTTCATTTCACATTTAAATTAATAACAAATTCACCAAAAATTCTATTGTTATATTTCTATACTGCTTTTGATATTTTAAAGAAATGAAAAAGATTTCTGAAAAAAATTATGTAGCAACTTAACACTATGTTTAAATAGTATCATTAGACTACTAACAAGCAGAGACAGCAAATAACAATACTTCTTCTGATGATAAGCAAACCTTTTAGGAGATGCCTGCTTCTTTCTAGCTATAATAGATACTATAAAGTGAACAAACCCCTTACTAGTAACTAGAATAACAAACAAACATACCAAGCTACAAAATGTACAATATTCTGGTAATATTTTTAAACAGGGACAACTCTGGGATTTCAAAATGTGCGAATAATTGGGGCTGTGGGGAAAAGAAGGACCCTTCTCCAGAGGAACTGTAGACATTATGGAAATCAGTGTGGAGATTCCTCAGACAAATAGGATTAGGGGCCAGCAAGATAGTTCAGAGGAGTAAAGCGCCTGCTTAGGCAAGCACAAGGACCATGGTTCAATCCACATGACATGCCAGCCCTGTAGTACATGCCTTTAATCCCAGTGCTGGGGAGGCTGAAAACAGGAAGTTCACTATAAGTCCAAGCTGCATAGTGATACCCTGTAACAACCAAATACATTAAAAGACAAACAAACAAACAAAAAAGCTAGCACTACAGGTTCCATTCAACCCAGATAATCCCTGCCTGAGTATTTTCCCAGAACTAGAAGCATCATACCATAGTGATATATGTGCACCCATGTTTACAGCAGCATACTTTGCCACAGGTAAATCGTGGAAACAACCCAAATGCCCATCAATTGAGGAGTGGATAAAAAAGATGTGGTATTTTTATACAATGGAGTATTACTCATCTATAAAGAAAGATAAACTCAAGGCCTTTATAGGTAAATAGATGCAACCAGAGATCACACTCATAAGTTAAATCAGACCCACATGTATGAATATTGTATTGTCTCCCTAGTATAAAAATCCGAAAAAGTAAATAAAATTGGAAAGGTACAACAGATACTGTGAAAGGGACAGAAACTGCTCAAAGGGAAGGAACAACTGGGATGAGAGAAAGGAGGAAAGGAGGAAAGGAGGAAAGGAAAAAAGGAAGAAAGGAAGGAAGGGAGGGAGGGAGGGAGAATGAGAGAGAAAGAGAAAAAAGAGAGAGAGAGAAAGGGAAAGAGAAAGAAAGAGAATGCTTTTTTTTTTCTTTCTTCTTTTCAATGTTTTTGTTTGGACCAATTTTGCATGTTTATATCTGCTAATATGAACAATTAAATTAAAGACCACACAATATCCACTATAACAACCAGAGCTGAATTCCTATCATCGAATTTTATAATTTCTAATGTTTTTCATTATATTTTATTCTCTTAAAAAATAATTATTCTGAGCTGGATATGGTGGAATACGCCTGCAATCCTAGCACTCAGGAGGCAGAGGTAGGAGGATCACCTTCCTGAACTATAGTGAGACTGTCAAAAAAAAGAAGAAGAATTATTCTGGGGTTTTTCTAGGCATGAAAACACAGAAAACATGTATCAATGGCAGTATTAGCTGAAATTCAAAAGTTATGCAGTCTAATTTTCTCTGTATTTAGTGATTATTATACATAATATAGCTCTTTATACATAGAAATGACAAAAATTTATAATCACAAGTCACATAATTCAGTCAGCATTCAGTCATGCTCATTCTGAAGGAATAAAAATGTAGAAATGTATAAGCAGTTTGAAAAATAAAAGAAAAAAACTAACAGTTGTGGAAAATACAGTATTCTTTTCCTAGAAGATGATTCTTCCTAGAGATACTAGATAGGTGCAATTTGTGCATGTCTGTGTGCATGTACGTACATATATGTGCACTCATCGATATCGCAGAGTATCCATATTCTGGTGTATTTTTTTCTCTATCCTGTCTTTCGTCCAGTTGTACTGACTCTAAAAATATCCATTCCTATTTCCAGAACTCATCTGCAGATAGTTCTGATCTTCATGTATCTCTTACTTAATCAAGTAAGAAAAGCCGAAAATAGAATTACATGTTTTTATAGAAATATACTACTTTTTAAGAGTCACAAAAATTTCCATAGTAATGAATATTTTTTCCCAAAATACACTCTTGTTACTATAATCTACTCAACATTTAATATATTTAATTTGGAACCTAGCCAATATTAGTAACACTTGCCCAAGGAATCTACCTAATATTTATAACAAATGCTTCTAATATCCCCAGGAAAGTCCCTTCTTCACTTGATCTTAGTCAAAAGGCCAAGAAGCGACTCCCTTCTTAATTTCATCAAAATAGCAGTAAATAAACAAAACATATTTTCTAATACAATACAACAAAAATTATCCCCAAAAGTCATTATAACTTACAATGTCAATTTAATATAATAATAATGAAATGTTCTTAAGAAAAATTTTAAAATCCAGCTTGTTACCTTTTCAAGATCTGGATCTTGAAAGGGAAATTTGCTGATGACTATTTTATACTCTTCTTCACTACCAACAGGGATAGGGCTATAATTATCTTCTTCAAAAATGTCCCTGTTAAGAAAGGAGTAGTGAAAATTTATTATTACAAAACATGTCACTACAGTGTTATAACATAGTATCTTTAGAAAATCCCAATTCCTACCAAAAACACCTTTGTCAATTAACAGTCCAAGCAGATAAATACTGTCTAATCCTCTAGAATTCTAAAATTCAGTATCAATTAAGTCTTACCTCTCAAAGTTCACATACAATCTCATCTTTCTACTAGTTTGCTTTATAGCCTCTCAGTACTTAAATTTTACTTTTCTGGTCTAGAACAATTCTCAGGATGATAAAGTTTCAAAAAGATCATTACCAATAACTAAAAATAGATCCATAACATGTAGAGTATTCCATGTAGATTTCATGACAGGGACAATTTTCAAATTGTTTTTAAGGCTGTAAGCTCTTGAATAGCAAAACAGTATGTTACATTTATTTGGTCTCTCATAAAGTTATGATGAGAAAAGGACCTTTTATAGTTAGGCAGAGCCATTTATTTATCACGTATCAATGTGCTCTCCTACATGGCTCTCTCACAGGCAACCACATGACTAGTTTTGGCCACTGGACTACGAATGGAAGTAATATATATTGCTTTGAATACAAAAGCATTTGTACGAGCCAACTATGTAACTCTCCTTCCCATAGTGAAAAGGGACACACTATGTTGAGGAAGAGAATTACAAATGCAAACAGTTTGCTTCTCTGAGTGTTAAACCTACTTACAGACTTCTTTATGAATGAGAAAATAATGAACTCATTGAGATTTGGGGGATTTTTTTTGTTGTTGATGCTACTATTGCAACATTACCTTATCTGCCCTAAAATAGCTGATGTTTAATCATTAACTTATTTTAACCTGTAATTCTGTTTAATATGACACCAATTATAAACTAAGCTCTGAAATGTGCTGAAAATTCCCCACTTCATGAAAATAAAAGCAGTATCTACATTCTTGAACCAAATAGGACAGTCAGATGTGCAAACAAACTATAATGTTTGTAACATACAATAAGAAATGTGTGCATTTCAAAAGCAGGACAAAGAAGGAAGTAATTATCAGAGTAGGTGAAGGAATGTCTCATGGAAAGTGTCACAGAGAAACTATGGACTCTATAGAATCTTTTTTTTTTTTTTTTGTGAAACTGAGGATTGAACTCAGACCCTTGCGCTTGCCAGGGAAGCACTTATTCCATTGAGCCATCTCCCCAGCACCCCCTCTATAGAATCTTGAAAGATGAATACAATTACTTTCTGTGTGCTCACAGACAAAAGGAACATATGTCCAAAGACAGATGGGGAAAAATACTCCTGTTCCCTCTTTTGAGGGAGCAATATCACTGCCATAGATAAGAGTATAATCAGCAACTATAAAAACTTGGGCATATCTTTGCAGGGAGGCCAACTATAACATTTCACAACTAAAAAGATAACATCACATTATATCATAGCATATGTCACAGGATTACTGCCTCTATCAATATGCACTATCTGTATTTTAAAAGTACTTACTATGATGATAGATATCTATGACTCATCTATATTATCAATTATCCATTTGGGAAATCCTTGACAATATTCAAAGAATGTTGATATGACAAGCTTAAATATGGGGCCAGGGAGATGGCTCAGTGGAATAAGTGCTTCCCTGGCAAGCACAAGGGTCTGAGTTCAATCCCTCGTTCCACCAAAAAAAAAAAAAAAAAAAAGCTTAAAAAGACTTATTTGGTTGGTTTTAAAACAAATTCATCACGTTGTACACCACTGAGGCACTGACAAAATATTTCCATTACAAAATTCAAAATGACAATTATCAAAGTTCTGAAAACTGTTGGAGTTATGTGCCAAGTTGGTATTTAAATGAGCCAACATATTTTTAATATCAAATATTACTGACATATTCTTTGTATCATACTTTGAATAACCTAGATGCAAGATTTCAAGATTTACTCTTCCAAAACAGAGAGGAAAAAAAGGTAGCGAGAGAGGGAGGGGGGAGTTGAAAGGGAGAGATAAGGTAGAAGAGAAGGGAGATAGAAAGTAAAAAAAAAAAAGAAAGAGGACAGAAAGCTTTTAATAATTAAAAGAAGAAGCAGATTTCTCTTTTCATAGCAGAGTGAAGTCTCATAAATACTAAAATATTTTAGTCCATACCCTTTAGGCAAGTGGCTAATCACAAAAGTAATTTACAGTCTTTAAGATTTTTAAACCAGCTAAGTTATTTGTGAAATAGCACTTTCCTCAAAACAAATATAAAGCTATAAATCTGTCTCTAATATAAAAATACCTTTGAATATTTAGTCTTATAAGTAATCTTTTACCAGAAAAACAATTATACATATGTAATTAAAAGTTGAATCATACAGCCACTGTAGAAAACAGAATGACAGTGTCTTAAAAAAATATGTACTTATTTTTTCTTTTCAAAAATTTTGTATATACTCCCAAGAGAGAAAAAATACAAATTTTCTAAAGTAAGAAGAAGGGACAGGGGTTTCTTTCCTTATTTTCAGCAGAGAGAATTAACCCTCTTATTTGCCAGCTCTTTCCAACTAAAAACACTTTGTACAGAACAGATTATCTCATTATAAACCACTAGCATAATGTTTTATTTCCAATATGATGAGAGAAGTTTACTAAAAGGGAATATATTCAACAGTTAAAACCAAATCTGCGGCTTGCATGGCCTAGAAATGGTTCACTGGAGCAAAGCTTTGTCAACCTCTGTGTGTGTGTGTGTGTGTGTGTGTGTGTGTGTGTGTGTGAAACCACCCAGAGACCATGTTAAGTGCAGATTCTGATGCAGTATGTCTGTGAGGCCAGGTATAAAACCCACAAGACTTGAAAGCAGGAACCCAAACACATAAAGGTACACTTATGTTTAAAATAGCATTACTCACAATAGCCAAAAAGTGTAAACAATCTAAATATCCACTGGTAAATGCAGAAACAAAATGTGGTATATACATACAGTAGATTATTCAGCCTTAAAAGGACAGAAATTCAAAGATGCTGCAACATAAATGAAACTTGACATGATTCAGACACAATAGGATAAATACTGTATGATTCCACTTACAGAAATACTTAGATACGTTTTAGAGACAATATAAGGTGATAGTAGTCAGGGGCTATAGGAAGGAGTAAATGGGGGACTTATTGTTAAATTGGTACAGAATTTGTTGGAAAAATGAAAACTTCCAAGACAGATAGCAATGGCTGCAACAATGTGAATGCACTTAACAGGACTGAACTGCACATTTAAAAATACTAAAAATGGTAAATTGCATGTGTGTTTACCACAATAAAATTTGATTATAAACATTTTATTGCCATATACAAAAATCACTTAGTTGAGCATTTCTCAAAAGTCCTTCATACATTAAGGCACCCAGGCTTAGACTAACCTGAAAACTCCAGCCCACTTCTTAAGTAGTATTTCATTGTATTGATCTCTTATTTCAAACAAAAGGTCAAAAAGTCGGTTTACTGGAAAACCATAACCCTAAAAATACAAAACAAACAAAATACTTATACCTCTGGAATAAGTATTCAAAAAAGGGTCAGGAATACTAGATAATCATTTGAAAGGAACTATTAGACCCACTGTATGTCATTCCAAAAGAGTACGAAAATATCCTTTTGACTTTCTACTAGACTGTACTAAGTAAAAACAGATTTAGAAAGAGTTTGATGACACCAAAATAATTTTTCCTTTTCTTCTCTCTCAGCAAAATTACATGTATTATCCTCAAAAAGTATTTCCTATCTATAATAGTTCTATCATCCATCTAATTTATCAATAAACATAAAGATCATCTAAACTCCCCTATACATTTAATCAATTACCAAATATTTTTCATTTCATCTCCTTTGCAGACCTCTTTCAAATGTATCATTCTTCTTCATCATCTTCCTTTCTTCTAGAAATATTTTCATTATAATTACTTTACTTCAGGTCCTTCACATCTCTTCAGTAGACCTAAACTGATATCCCACTACCTGTTTCTTTCAACTGAGTAAGTTGCTCAGATTCTCAAAATACTATATTCAAAAGTACAAATCTGGTATCATTCCCCTGATTAAACCCACTAAAGTCTTTACTAAAAGTCTCAAAATACTTGACACAATCTCGGTCAAACTACCTTAACAATTTCCTTACCATTATTTGTACTCTTTGCTGACATTCACATATTGCACTTTCTAATACTACCAAACTGCTTAACCAGTCTCACATTCACCATACCATACCTCTATGTACAGTTCACACATACTCATTTCATTCATTAATGTTCTTTTCTTATACTTGAACTCATTCTTCAAAATGAGTTTGAAGTTTACATTTTAAGTTTCCCTATAGCTTTCTCCAACTCTTAGAATCAAAATTAGTTATTTTACCTTCTCTGAGCCCAATGTTCTTTAACATACTGCTATATTATATTGCCTATGGAAGTTTTTGTTATTGTTGTTTTGTTTTTTAATACTGAGAATCAAACTTAGTACCTTGTGCTTACCAGGCTGGTGCTTGTCCCACTGGGCTATATCCCTGCCCCAGAACTGGTTTTGTTTGTTGGTTCATTGCTTTATCAAGTACCTCATTTGTTTACAACTAAGCTATGAGTTTCTAAAAGCTAAGGATTTCTTTCTCCCTATTGTGTCACTTATCTTTATAACTCTGTCAATCTGCAGATCAACTGTTAGCAAGAGATGAATACTCAAAAAGTATCAGTGAATAAATTAACAAATGTATACTTTTGATTTGTTCACTAGGCAGTAAGCAGAACTACGAAAATTACTCCGGTTACTTTTTACTTTATTGTTTAGTCAGCTTGTTTTTGCTATGGTTTGTATCTAAGTGTCCCCCCATAGCTTCATGCAGTCATAGGGCAGCTCCTATGGTTTGAGATTAATTCATAATCCAATGCTGGGATTATGAGTGTGAATGCTATTCCTGCCCTGGGGTGGGTAATCTGCATTAAAATGTAAGAAAGGGAGAGAGCCTGCTACCTGCCTCAGCTGCTGCTCCTCTCCTTTGCTCTTGGCTGTTTTCTGCTACCATGAACTGCTGCCCTCTGCCATGTGCCACTCTGCCTTGGAACCAGCTGAGTATGGACTGAAACCTCCACTAACTGTGAGCTAAATAAACTTTTCCTTCCTTAATTCTGGATGTCAGGTATTTGTCTCAGCAACAAAAGAAAAGAAAAAAAAAGATGACTTTGAGTTAGAGAAATATTTCTTGAATGATACACAAAACAAAAACAAAACCAAAAATATTGCCATGGCTTGT